CTGTCCCTCCCATTTTCTCTCCCTTATCGTCCATCTTTGTATCGCCTGCTTCGGCTTTCCATCTACTTAACTAAGTAGATTACTCAACAAGTGGCGGGCAAATCCTCTGTGGTCGTCAGCCGTTACGGTTTTAACGCCAAACTCGAGTCGATCTTCCCTCCGGTTATTGCAAATCAACGTATTTATAAACGAAGTATTAATTCTGCAAAAATAGGGACGATTTTAAGTCCACGTTCAACTGAAACTCTAAACTTCGGTAACAACTTCGAATTTCCGTCTAATGGGAACCATATTAATTTCAAACTCATCAAACACAACGGGGATTATGCCATTTTCGATACGTTCGATGCAAACCATTATGCGCTCATCTAGCCCGAAACAAACCATTGCAAATTTAATAGATTCAATACAAGCGAAACGCGATTCAATAAATTTGGTACAGATCATCTTACGCTTTGGCGAAAACGATACAAATCATTCCACATTTAACAGATGCGGACCATATCAATTTCAAACAGCATAATAAATGTCACTTCAAGCCTGAAATCCAGAGAACTTGATACAAACCATCTCGGATGCTAAAGAGTCAATGGAGACTACTTGAAAGCAAGGAAACCTGATAAAAACCATTCCAGCTTGAACCGACTCAATATAGACCACTTTGAACCTGAATCACTCGCCGAAGACCTATCTAGCTTTAGGAGACACGGTTAAGAATCAACCTTTTCTCTCACATTCCCAACATACACACGTACGACTATAGTATCCGAGATATCCTTTGAATATCTCGAGATTCTAGGCTAACGGGAACACTCTACATTCAAGCATCTTCTATCGTGTTATTTAGAGTTTGTAGTAATTTTGACTTCAAATAAATAGTTATTCTTAGATTATGGAATTATGTATTATGAAACACCATGCAGTTTTCTAACTTTTATCGTGAATATTATAGTCTATCGAAGACAATAACAATTCCCGTTTCTGGCATAGAACAAATTAGGCTGCGCTTCGTATCGGTCTCATAGAGTATCTTGAGAATGGATAAGGAACGTCGCCAGCGCCAGAAAGCTGAAGGTACCAGTACAAAAGGTTGTTAGAGTTGCACTCTTGAAACAAATCTCTCTTTCCCTCGCATCATTCCTTTCTTTCCCTCTCTTCTGACTTTAACTTTTCTCTTTCTCTTGGTCGTGATTCCACAACACCGCCTTCCCCCTATCCCTCGACTTCTACAACGCTTTCTAGCTGCAGAGCTTCTCATCTTCTTATTGTCTTTTTTCCCCTTCTTTTGGCCTTCCTTCTTAGGCTCTTCGTCTTATTTCCCTTTGTCTCTCTGGCGACTAAACACCCTCCGGTCCCTCGAGGCCCACAGCCAGCCAAGACCCTGTAGATCTTTTTGCCACGGGACTTCTTCCGGTACAGTCGCTGGCAAAACATTTCGCTACTCAAATTGCAATCCAAAATCACAATCTTGGCTAGATTCACCGTGATCAGCTTATCTTTTAGACCGTAATGTTCACTAAACCCTTGGCGCGACTCTCGGTCTTCTGCAAACGACTTGTAACACTCCTTCTGGAATTTTGGACATTGAAATTCTTTTTGTTACTACTGCTACAAATTCTACCACCTTATTCCTCACGGATAAACTATCCTCAAGATCGTTTCCACGTTCATACTTGCACACCTCAATCCTTTCTCCACAGTCTTTACTCCTACCTACTCGTTCCATTCAAATCTAAATCATTATAGCGGACAACGAATCGATAATCGCGTACTAAACGAAAAGAATCCATCGTGTAAACGCGGATTAACTCGGCCACATTACGCGTTCCACTAAATCTAATTAGCATCGCGCGGTTCTCGCGCAACGATTAAAATCAGTGCGAGCCGACCTCGGTCCAGAATTCCCGTTCCACCTCAAAATTAAACGCACATGCTGCCACGGTCTGCGTTACGATCGGAACGTCTCGCCGACACCGTGCAATAACGGAATACCGCATCGAAAGCTGTGGGCGCAGGCGCGCGGCAAAAGTGTCCGCCGAGATTAAAAAGCGCGGATCCCGCGCGAATTATAATGCTCAGCCCGTGACATTTATGAAAAGGCGCGCCCGGTGTACCGGCGGCGATTCGGACGGGTCGAAAGGCGCGCGGCTTTATTAAAATTCCGGTTCCTCGTTGCGTACGGGAGCGCGTCGGGCGACATTTGGCGGCGTCCACATCCGCCGGGACGTTTTCCTCGTCGCGAGCGAACTTTTCTGCGGCGTATCAAACTTTCAGCTCTCAATTTCGCTGCTTTCGCCGACCCGGAGTGACACTCGATTGGCCCGACACATATATTCCAGTCTATCAAGTCCCGCTGCCGGGAAGTTCACGCGACGGTGCACAGGTTCGTCGAACTCCCCGTCCTGCGCGCGAGCGCGAGGGAGATGCACCGCTTCAAGGTGAGTGGGTCGACGCGCAAGATAGGTCGAATCCCTGCAGCGTGATAACGAGGCACGGTTCACCTTCCGCCGCGGTAACGATAGCGATTGATAGGTGCTTCCCTCCGTTCGCCGCGGCGAGGCAAGCTTCAAGAGATCCTCCTCGTTCACGACAGATAAGTTCTTTCGCCAGAAATGGAGGTAATTCTCCTTTCGGAGACAGACACCGGGAGCGGCTGAGATAGCAGTTAAATCGGCAGCAACGTTTCGCAGAAACCTCGCCCCTCCATCTTCTTTCTGGTACTCGCTTCTGCACGTCCGCGCAGTTCCGTTCGTGACGCTGACGGATTTAGGAGGCAATGATTTCTATAAACTTCGACCGGCAAGTGTACAGCGTTATCATTACTCCTTCGCGGAAAGTAAACCCGGACGGACATCCGCTGATTTATTAGCGGATCCGAAGCAATCAAAATCAACGCTTCCTTTTAAGCGGGTTAGGTAACGACTTCATGTATCGCGAGTGGGCAGCTTCTCTTTATCCACTTGTATTTCCGATCAAGATATATACCGAGTTTGGTATTTCGCGCAATTTATCAACCGAACTTCTCGATTACTTCGACGTACAGCGAAACTGGTTCGTCCTCGCGCGGCCGGTTAGAGGCGTGCTGCACCTAAAACGAACCCCTTTCCGGAAAAAGAGGAAAGTTTCTTTTACTTCGCCGCAAACCTAAACTGACGGCTCGCAATGCGTCTCGTTTGTTCTAGAGCAAACGTACACTAGCTGAAGAAGATACAGCGACCTGGAGAATCATCGCAAAGTTGCAGACGATTTCTAAATGTTTCATGCTAATTGTATCGAACAAAATTTCAGTTGGTTTGATCAACAGTCACTGGGAAACGTGATTGCAAAGCTATCCAGTCCGGTGGCTAAGCGATTCGCGTATGAAGACAACTGAATCTCATCAAAGAATTCGGAAAAACTGATCTCTATACAGAACTGAATAAGAATGTCAAACATCGTTTAAAGTATGAAAGGCTACACGTATATTTTAAATAAAATATTACCCCTAAATACTTCATCCTCTAGATACACATGGCGTACGCGCGCGCGATGAAAACACATGTTGGGCTAGATAATAGACGAGCGCGGTGAGTCCATTAAGAAGTAACCGTTGTTCGACTAACTGGCTCGTCACACAAACGCACGCGGGGTGGTTTATCAGCGGCTTTGTGTGCGCGTTCTATCTTCCGCGTGCCAACGCAACCCGCGCTCCTAGCTGAATCATTATAATATCCATCCAGGGTCCGACCTAACCGATAGTGGTGGCATCACCGCGGAAATGTGACCCACTGATCGGCTGGCTGGTAACGACTAATACGTGCGCCATGATTTCATACACCGCGGAGCAGCATGCCCAAGCGAAATAGACGCCTTGCTCGATACGCTGTTGATTTATTCCTCGTACGTGCACGGCAGAGGCAACGGTAATAGCCGGTAAAGAAAGAATCGGGATCGAACGGATCGGGTTGTGGGGGGTGGACGCAGCTAGGACTGGTAGTGGGAAGTGGAAAAGCGGGCAAATAACGCGGAGAATAAATTTTTGCCGCGGCGCGGTATCCATTCGATCGGCCGAATCGTTCCTCGATCGCGGCTCTTGCAATATTAACTTCTTCCGCGGATCTGTTATTAGAGGGGGGGGCGAGTCGGTTGTTGGGTATTAGAGGTTCTCAAAGTGGGACGCTTTAATACCATCGACCATTGGAGTAGGTCGGGTCTAATAGAATATTTGATTGCTAGGAATCGGAATAGGAATGTTCGTATGATTTGAATTTGGGAATTAACTTGAACGAAACTGAGCTTGAAAACGGCAAGAGGAACTTTAAATTCTAACGGGTTTAAGTTTAGAAATATTTCATAAATGTTTTATTTATTTATGTATTGTTTCGGGTTGTAAAGTGCAGAGACTGAGAGGTTTCGTAAGCATACCTACGGAGAAAGTTAATTACCCGATAATGCATTCTGCAAGATTAAAAGACTCCATCCTGCAGTTTCTATGTATCCAGTTGCATAAATAGTAAAATGATTTGTATCTCACGTTACTATGCATCGTTGGATGGTCACGCATAAAAAGAGCATCCATCATTTCTGCATTTACATACGCATACAGAGTGACCCTAAATTAAGGTAAACCTTAAAAGACGTCTCTGAGAACAGAAAAAATTAATCCATAACTGTTTAATATCGTATGTACCTATTTTAGTTTCTTTGATATTCTGCAAGAAAAAGTAAAAATTTCAAAGGTTAAGTTTAAGCCTCTAGCAACTTTGCATAAGAAGAGAATTTTCGTCCCTTCTTTTCTTCTATGCAGTTACTTTCTCAATACACTTCGATTAAAACTGTACTATCTTATGGACGATGGCAACTGTATAATTTGTAAAAATGATTTACAAGTCTAGATAACGTGCGGTACCAGAAATCGAACGCCTTCCCAAAGATCGGTACGTATTCATGTCCGGAACGGAACGGCGCTCGTAACCTTATCGGGATGATCCGAAACGACCTATTGTCAGTACGTGGTTAACCGTGACTATCTAAATTAGAATCAGTGTTGACGACACAGTAGCTCCTCTCGTCCCTTGCCATTCATGGCAGTGACCTCCCAGAGGCAGCGCGTACAAGAGTCTCTAATCTTTTACAACGAAGCCACGGTGCAGACGTTCAGTAGCAACTATCCGGTAAAATTTGTGTTATGTAGAGCTGCTGCGAGCTGCAGATTCTGGCGGGCTGATTTAATAAAAGAACGGCATCGAATAGAATGAAGAAGTTGATTAACTAATTGTGAGAGTAGAAAAACTATAGCTTTAACGCTGCCAGAGAAAATATTGAACTGCAAAAGGTATGTGAAACTAAACTGCAGAAATAATTGATAAATCGTTGTTTCGTAAGACTATTACTTAATAGATCAGTTAATGAATAAAATAGAGTAAAAAAAGAATGTATAACAAAATTTGTAATCATTGCAAATGCACATTTGCATTAATCTATTTCGTACTCTTGAACAGTAACTTTGCTTTGAGAATACTTATCGCAAGAACAGACCATTAATTTATGTATGTAGTGTAAATTACTTTTTTTTATTCGATGACGACGATTTCTTCTTTTTTCTTGATAGATTCAAATGGTGTTATTAATACTATTATAATTAGACGGCGAATGTTTATGATTCACTATCAACTACTACTAATCAGAGTTTAGTAAAATGAAAATTCTAATAAAGCTGGATACACAGGTAACATTTATATTCAAGTGGGAAATATATTGGTACTACAGTTATTACGTTTCCAATACGTAATCCAATACAGTTCCATTGTTCCAGAGAATTTAACTGAAAAATTCTGAAATATTCCGAACAGTGTTCACAATCCAACAGTATCTTTTTAATAACAGAGTCCGTAACGCGGGATTTAAAAACAGATTTAGTTTTACTGTACGGTGAAAAAATTTTCTGTTATCTAGTTACAGTGGCAGAGAGAAACAGATGAAGGGGGAGAAAGAGAGAAGGATAGTTAAATGTCGAAAGCCACAAATTTCGATCGCGCGTCCCCAAACCATCTGTCGATCGAGTATCTTCAATTTTTATTGAAATTGTAACATTTATTACAACTGACGAGGACGTAAACTGTAAAACGATGAATCATCGAAAGGTTATTCAAACTAAGTACACTCTCAACACTCACTTGACATTTATAATTGCTGAACAAGGAATTCCCAAATTAGGAATAATATGTAGTTATTATAAGAAAAACTAAGCAGTATCAATATCTTATAAAAAATAAAATTATTTAAAACATTCAGATGTACCGTGAAGTGGTTCGCAGGAATGTTCCTGAAGTTCCGTTGTAGCAACTTACGTACGTTGAATGCATTCACCCTATTTTCACGACGTGTACTCGTACAGCAGTCTAATTCTTCCCTCAGAATACTTGAAGTACACGACGAACACGTTCCACTCGTTCATCAGACGCGCGCGGTCTTCCGGGACTTTTATCTTTACACAAACTACCACTTGTTTCAAATTTCTTCTAAGGTTTCCCCGGACGAGTTCGAAACTCCCGTTGCACAACCATAATGGCTACTTTTCCGCTTAATTGAAAATATGTAACGGCTTCTTCCTTGCGCACACAGCATTCAAACTTAGTATATAGCCACGTGGTATAGCGGCGCGAAACAGATAGTTTGAACTGTTTACGTTTCGTCTCTAGCACTGTATCGCAAAACCTAGTAAGTAAAAATGTCTATTACCGATGGTAAAGGTCTCCTTGCAGTCTCCAATTAAACATGAATTATGTGGTTACAATACATTACCTGAATTTGTTTCAGAAAATCACGTTAAGAATTTGAAATAGGTAGTTACATATGCACTGGAGAAAGTTCCAGAAGACTATGTATGTTTGATGAATGAGTGAGACGTGCTCGTGCATTGTGCATTTGTTATTATCAATAATAAACCTTTGAACATTACTTTACGGCATAAGAATGAAATGTTTATTGGTTTTCATTGTAACATCACCGGAAACTTTCATACAATAAATCATTATGTTTCTACTTCTGAGGTTTCATTACAATTAACACTAGATTTACAGACATTTTTATGTACCTATTTCTACCAACATGGGTTAATTTGATTCGTGAACAAAATCACACATTTTCTTTAAAAAACAATTTAAAAAACATCATAATTATACACAATGATCTTATAAATGAAACTACGAGATGTATCGATACAAGTCAGTGCAAGTGGTAGAAAATAAATGTGAACGATTTTTGTAATTTCCCTCTCGAAGTTCGAAACGGGTCAAAATGACTCGCCCGGTAAAACTAGTGTTAAAAACATTCTCAATATTTTCCATCAAAATGAACTATTATATGCAAATATACTACCGTCAAATTATATTTGATTACATAAAATATTTATGATCTAAAGACAGAAAGAAGGAAATAAAATATAGCATAGTACAGTGTCTCTTGATGATTTATTTGGTCTCATTCTTCAAATATCTATATAAACATTACATCCCTGGATTGCGATTTATTTACATGTTCTAACTATCTTGCATCATGTTATCTATTTAACTACAAAGCATATACATTACATCAGGTCGTTTTATCCGCTAAGTACGTTAAACACATTTTCCGCAACTTATAAATATTTTAAGGCCTCGCACAACAGAAGTACCAAGAAATTGTACAGAAATTAGGACAAAACTAATTTTAACATAAAGGACATTTTACACTTTCATTTAATCATGTATCATATCTTCTATACATTAATTTATTCCTACGATACCAACGAAACGTTAGTACAATAATTCCATCTACGAGTCAACGATCAAAGTGGTAATTTAGTTTGCCTTACGCGAAGAAAAAATTCACGACAATATAAGATTAAATAACTGCTCGCAATAAAGCAAAATCTTGGTAATCCGATTTCACCTGGGCGGCGCGTAATTACGATCGAAAATTTCCGGATTCTGGGGTGTAAATCTCGAAACAGAAAGCCATCCTACCCACGGCATCGCAATGAAGTTATTCGAGTATCGCTGACAGAGCACAGTTTTGTATGCAAATGCCCGGTTATCAGATCCGAGTTTCATCTGCCTCTAATGCATCGCCGGGACGCAACAACGTAATAACGGGGCCGCCATCACGGCTGAACCTCTCGAGCGGAGAATCCATTTCGCGATTGCGACGTCGACCGACGCGGCACAACGCGGCAGGGCTCGGCTCAGCGCCGCGGCGAAAGCAACCACGGTCGGGACCTTCGAAATTTCCCTCGATCCCGAATAATGCCGGGTGGAAAATGCGCCCGCGCGTTCGCTTTAATAATAAGCGTTTCGGTCGAATGCAGTTCTAGAACGTGCGAGAACGCCGTTCGCATCGCGCGCGCCGCGGAGTCACACCTCACTGCCGGCGCAAAGTGGACGAACCCCCCTTAATTGGAAACATTGAATGAATTCGAACGTGGAGAGGTGCGAGAGGGACGCCCGGATATTCCGTGCGATCGAGAGGGGTGGGTGAACGGTGAGAAAAAACTCAGAAATAAAGAAGGAGCGAGGAATATAGCTGAAACATTGTTGGGAAGTATTATGAGCCTCAATCAATAATGCTAGTGAAAGGAATGCGATTCTAATCGGTTAGTTTTCCATCTGTCGCGTCACATTTGCGATACTGATGCGCTATTCTTTAATACGATTACAAGTAACTAATCAAACTATAAACAAAAATTCTTGTCTGAGACGTATAATATGGTCGGCCGATAGAACACAAGAAATCCTTCTAACACGCAGCTATCTACTCTACTGCTAAATGAAGACTACGTGCCTCTCACATCGTGAATCAACCCCGAAAGCTAAAGCTGCACAGGGGCAAGGGGGAACCTCCACTCGCAGCGCTCGGCCCGGTAGCTATGGCAACAGCGACGCCTCAGTTCGGTATGTCCTTGTTACTGGCCAAGTCGTGCAACAAAGGACGCAAACAAAACAGAATGCAACGAAGTGAGAGGTAGGAACATTGGCATCAGATTCCGTTTTTGCGCGATGGCGACTTTTTAACCCTTTGCACTCGAAAGGCGACTCTCAGTCGCCATTTGATTGAACGCAACAAAGTTATAAAATGTTGAATAAGACCTTAACACATGAAACATAGAAATAAAACAACTCTGTCCCATAATTTATGCAAGATGTTTCTTTATGTAAGATGTAAATAATATTGTTAATATTTCGTCAGAAAATAATGAATGTTTGTAATGAAAAATATTGTCGAGTGCAGACGGTTAACATATTGCGTACCGAGAACGAGAAATATCGTTTTTATATGAATACCCACCTTCGTAGATTTGCTAACTACCACATCATTTAAAAAAATATTCAGTAAAAATTTATTAAGTAACAGTAAAATATTTGAATATTGTACATATAGTGATATAAATTTATCTTATTGAAAATCAACAGTCTTGCGTCCTAATCCTTTAAGGATTAACCCGATACGTAATGTGTTAAGAGAGGACCGAGGTGGAGCGTGCGGCCAATTCCCCTTGCTTCTGCGACTTTCCAGCTTTTAGGATTCAGTCAGGACGTGAGAAGCGCATAGTACTTGCTACCACCTTCTTCGATACAGTTCACATGATACCACAGCTGCCTTCTTCTTCATCTTCCTCCCCTTCCCTTCTTTTCTTTTCTTTTTCTCTTTTCCCTGTTCGCCGTTTCGGCCCAAAGCATCATCGCTTTCTCTACTCTTTTTGGAGTCACGGGTACGCGCACGATGCAACATCGAACGGACCGATCTCGCGCGTGGGCGTCCGTGAAACGCCGGGGTGGAACGGAGGCGGTAACTCGACTGACGTTAAAATTAATCGACATTACTTTTCTCGGGCTGAATCGCGGCCCGCTGAGAGACCCCATCGAATCGGCCGGGACCCCCGCTACCGATACGGGAAAAATGCCGCGATGAATCGCGCAGCCAGTTTGCTGCTTTCACTGCTATGCAAAGACGATACTCGGGAGACCGCGTTGATTTGACAAATCGGAACTGGAGTGTTCTTTTGTTGGAGAGTTTAATACTCTCATAGAATATTCGATCGTTGCTACGGTATTTTTTGGCTTACGAATAGGTTTTCCAGAAATTATTTTCAATATATCGTCTCGAAAAGTATTAAATATTCAATGCAAAGTCATCAAAAGTTTTATTGTTTTATGATTAGACTATTCTAGTTTTGATGATACATCTCTTAAAACAGAAATCTGCCTAACTTTTACTCATAAGTTTTCTAATGAAAATTTCTCTCCGTAAAGTCACGCAACTCAATCGAGACGTTCTGGAGTAATGCAAGCCACATAACGAAAGACTGAGGAAAACTGCACTTCGTATCTGTGCAAGAGTTTGCTTGTTTTTCGTCTGTCTCTCTTACTTATTGCGAATTCCTCTTCCCTGAAGACCTGGTAGTTCGGTAGCGCCATAAAAGGTCTGGAACTTCAATACTTTCACTTCATTATAATGAGTAAGCACAATCAAATAAGGACACTACAAATGTTTTCGTGGCTGTGTTTTCTCTGTTTCGATTTGTAATGAGAAAAAAGTAAAAGGTCACATTAAATATCATTGTACACAGTGTAGAAAAATTTCTAAAAGGAAACCGTATATAATTTCATCCCGGAAGAACGTCTTAAAATTGTAAATACATTAGATTTATAAGATTTTTATCAACGTATGCGAGGATGTATTAAAATATTTATATTCACATGAAGGAAGAAAAGAGGCTTTCTCATCTTTTGTAGCTTAATTGAGACAAAGAAATCTTATTAAATATCTATGTAGTGGAAGTTTAGCCAGAAGTAGGCTAGTTAGCAATGATGAATGTTTGTGCCGCGAATATCACAGATCGAAGCGCGCGCGAGTCGATTCTCGGAGCGGAGGGATCTCCCGGAGTCGCCGGCGCACCGAGGCGAAAGTCTATTTTAGTTCGATCTCTTGAAATCCGCCTCGCACACCTTCTGCCGCAGTCACTTCCTTCTTATTCTGGCATAAGTAAAATTACATCCGGCGCACGACTCGCTTCGTTGCGTCGCGGTTCAAAGACGACCGATAACGACCGTTATCGAGCGACACGTAACGTAAACATTTACGCTCGTGTAAGCCTTTTTCTCTATTGCTGCTCATTCAATTTCCTTCTCGCTTAGTGTTCCTATTAATTCTGAAAACTTTTCTCCTTGCGAGAACGACTCACGGGTGTGGAATTGTTCTACAACAGTTGGAGTTAATACTCCATAGAATGTAAACACGTCGATGGAAGTTTGGAAATTTAGCTTCTCAAGTGGACAAGCCATGTGAATAATACAAGAATTTTTGTGTAAATTTTTGGAGGAAAATCATTAGAAGCGGCTTTTAATTTGATGGATTAAGCCAGTTGTAGCTTTGGTAGTAATGTATAATTGAAGATTTAGTTTTATATGAACTTTCAAGAAACTACACTTTTTAGTAGTGAAAATCACGCTCATTTACATTATGGAGCACGTAAGTCTGGTCTTAAGGTCTTTGATTTTTATTAATACATTATGAAACTGGTTTTATCATATACATACGTATTTATGCGTTATTCGACGTAACTACATAATTAAAAGTACATTCATCGTCACGTTTCTACTACTACGTTATTGGAGTGAAATTGTTTCATGGTGCGATCTTGTAATTATTTTGATTCCTATATTCAATCAACATTCCGCGTACTCATTAATTCGTTCATAATCATCATGAACGGGAAATTAAGAAATAATTTACAACGGAAACGTAAGAAAAGTACTCACATTAATTGCAAACACAGAAATCACTACCGATAGTAATATAGGTCAAGACCGTGACACAGCCTCGATCATCTACTCAACATGAGAAATCCACTAATACTTTACGTGCGCTAAAAGAAAAAATTGTAGAACACTATACATTCGCAATGATACTATTTGTAACAAAAAAGTAGTCGCTGCAACACTTGCAATGCTAATTAATACCAGTTTACAACATAATCTAATTTCAATTCATACACGTCTTTTACTACACAACCCAGCAAAAACCGTTTACACTTCGAAAAGGAAAAGTTCCTCGACTCATGTTCACATGACCTCTTTTGATCATTCCACTCTACTTCCAAGTATTATCGAATAATATATCCTGATGAACGTTATAAA